GTGACCCCATTTTGTGTAGAACTTGCATACATAAGGCAACCGACAGTTTTGGTTAAGGTTCCCTGTGTTGCAGGGTAGTTGAGTTGAGAATTCCTAGGAGAGTCCAAGAAATGTCATAGTAGGATATGTATGTTGTTAACCATAGGGATAGTGTGTATTAATTTAGTGTGGTGACTTAGAGGACTCAGGATGGTTCTTGAGGATAGTACAGATAGGTGTGGAAGGTAGTATTGGGCTCATACTACTGAAAGCACAAGATCTGTACTCGAGACAAGGATTATCTGGGAAATCCTAAGCAGCGTGTGGAATGATAGTTCCCTCATATGTGTGCTAATCATATTTATGTTTGTATTTCAGTTGGGTTTGGCAATCACACGAGGAAGAGCTTCTGGATCGCTTTCCAGCTCTGGACCAGAACCAATTAATGAGTGGTTGCACGAGTTTATCACATTTGAGATTACACGTGGTATCATGAAGGGCACACCTGTGATTTTTGGTACTATCAATGAGGAGATTACGGAGCTGATGTCACATACCGCTAAAGCGGAAACACAAGGTGCAACAGTACAAAGGGTGTCATAGAAAAAGTTAAAAGACAACACCAACGATAGTATTAAAAATAATTACAATGTACAATGACTTTGAACAACTTTTTAAAATAAATTACAATGTATTTGAAAGACAACACATGCAAATGCTCCTACAAGTGTTGTGTCTCTACGTGCCTGTTACTAGATGATTCCTGAAAAAACATGTAAAACGAGCGTCAACTATAAAAATAGTTGGTGAGTTCATAGATTAAAAATAATATTGGTTTCATGAATCGAAATCAAAGTTTTGATAAAACTTTCCATAAATAAAAATATATTGCAAAAATGAGTAAATAAGTTTTCATAAACAAAGTCCGTTGTCATCATGAGAGATAAAGTATGTTGCCCAAATGAGATGCAACGTTCATATTCTCATGGGAAATAAAGTTCGTTACTAAAACGAGTAAGCAAGTTTCATTGCTATAATGAGCAATCAAGTTGGTTACTACAAGGAGCAAACAAGTTCGTTGCTACAAGGAGCAAACAAGTTCGTTGCTAAGACAAGTAGATAAGTTTCTAGTAACAAAAGTTCGTTGTTATAATGAGAAACAAAGTTTATTGCTATAATAAGTAACAAGTTTGTATGTATATGAGCAAACAATGAGTTCACAACCAAGCCTATGATTGATGCCCTATCAAGATCTATGCTTATCGTTCCATAGATGAATATGGTATCATGCACTCAAGCAATCGAGCGAGTGAGGAGTTGTCAATTCCTAATAGCGCTATCCATAATGACCATTGGCTCAAAGAGTTAATGGTTGGAGTAAAGTGTAAGGGAAGAGACTTAAGACGATAAGGCCTCATGTTTCAAGTTGCATAAACATACATAGAAAAATATAGCGATCATGTTTGATACAAATCAATTTATATACAACGAACAATAAATAGTTTTTCGGATATGTTTTTCCACCCCAAAACATAAAAACCGAAAATAGGGGGAGTCGTGAATACTCACAATGTTTCAAGTTGCTACAAGTGGTGCCTTGGAATACACCAACACCTTACTACCGGGATCCTATGACATCAAACACACACTAGTGAGTTTCTTTTTCGAAATCTAACGCTAATATACTAAATTCTACATATAGAGAAATGCCAAAAAAAATTGTTCTAATATTGGTTTTATATTAATTGGTAACAATTTTTCTGAAATTGTGAAATTTTATAACTCATGAGATTAAGACAATTTTGGATACTATTTTCCAGATTTTTGTAATATTATTTGAGGGTATTTCAACATATTTAAAGGTGTTTCAAACCCTTAAAATCCAAAATACAATAGAGGTCTTTCAGAAAATTTCTCTTGAATTTTTTTATGTGATTAGTTATTTAAAAAAAATTAAGTCTTCATATCAATATAAATTCGTGAAAAATAGCATTCAAACGATAAAAATTCCCAAACTTTTTGTAATACTGCTATTAAACATACTTAAGTTGGGAAAAATATAAATATGGATATCTAAACAGTTTAACCAGATTTTTTTTTTGTGCATTTATTCTAACAAAAATGGAGATAAATAGAAAAAAGTTTCCAAAATTACCCAAACTTTTTGTAATACTATTATTAAACATACTTAAATGGGAAAAATATGAAAATGGATTTCTAAACAGTTTAACCCGATTTTATTATTTTGGTGCATTTACTCTAACAAAAATGGAGATAAATAGAAAACAATTTTAAAATTCCCCAAACTTTTTGTACCAGTGTCATTAAACATATAGAAGCTGTGAATAATATGAATGTTATATATATATATATATATATATATATAATATATATATATATATATGCTTAGGTTATTATATTCAAAGTAATTATTGTGTTATTGTATGAATAAATGTGAGCCAATCATTTTACTTATTTTAAGAAAGTGATTAATACATATTATTGAATTAAATATAATTGAAAAATACCATCTAATTTAACTAGAAGGGTATTTTAGTCAATTAATACATATTTAATAAACGAAATTTGCATATTTTAAAGGATCATAGATTCTATTAATTTTAAAAATCCGATTTTACGAATTATAAGGTTTTTAATTCGGACATTCTGACAGAATATGTTCGAGTATGTACAAAAATAAAAATATTCTTGAACCATAAAATAATAAAAATATTCTTGAACGTATTTCTTGATCATGACTTTAAAAATTTCTTGTAGAATAACCAAACTCTTATAGAATACATGTAACAATTGCTAAGAATTATATTTATTGTTAAAGAATAAAACTAAAAAAACTTTCAAATCTGAAAAAAAAAAAAAAAAAACATCAAAATCTAACAAAGACACTAATACATTCTAAAAGAATAATGTTGCTAAGAGACGTCGTTCAAATTTCGTGGTTCGTTCTTCAAACATCAGCTTCTATGGAAACAAATCCAATGAATAAATTAGTGAGAAAATATCCATATTTCATTCCAACATAATTGGAATTCGTGATTCTATTCTGATAGAATTGGAATTTATTTACCAATAATTATATTAATTCGTGTAATTCTAACAGAATATGTTCATGATTATCATAAAAAACATTCTTTTCTGATAGAATACTATAAACAAAGAAATATCATTCAGTTGAAGCATTTTAGCGAGCGTTTGGTGTGCATCAAAACAACTTTCAATTTCCTATAAAAATTAGACAATCAGAACAAATTCTCAATTCACCAAAAATATTACACCTTGTTTACAAAGAAAACAGTGGTAATAAGATTAAATAGACTGTTGAGTGTTAGTGATTATGGATAAGTTTGTACTGCAAATTCTGCAATAGCCGTGGATTTCACTAAAAAATAAGCTATTAATTGCATACATAAAAAAAGGTAAAAAGCATCACTAATATCACAATTTCCAGATCCCCAAATAATAGATCCAGTAATCGAAGTCACAAAACTTGACTTAATTGATCGATTAACGAGCTGTTGTGTCAAACATTATCAGCACCGATATAAACTCTAAAGCAACAAATGGTGAAATGGATCACCTAGATTATTTATTACCTTCATGCTGGTGCTTCTGATCTTGTCGTCGGGGTTGGGGAAAGAAGCCACAGTCGCCAAAAGATCCACCGAAACACCACCAAATCCAGGCTGTTGCCAGCCTTTACCCTTTACCTGAATCTGCCGGAGTTGATGGCAGAGGAGTGTGTACGAGAGGGAGATGAGAGGGAAAAGGTGGGGGTGACGATGAATAGAAGAGAAGAGGGAAGAGGCGGACGTGAGGATATATACTAGAAATTGGGTTTTAAAACTGATATTCCTAAATTAAAGGGATATTAATTGATTTATATATTTATCATAACTAATTAAATGTAAGATTATATATTTACTCTTTTGAAATTATTGGCTTACATTTATTCATACAATAACACAACAATTACTTTAAATACTTGAACCTAGCTCTCTCTCTCTCTCTCTCTCTCTCTATATATATATATATATATATATATATAATATATATATATATATATATATATATTATATATATATATATAATATATATCATTTGCGAATGTACAACTCACTAAAGCACAGATGTGCTTTAGCGACTTGTACGTTCGTATATGGCTATTTTCTACAAAGTAATTAATGGTTTTGGTTATATTTGTAATTTTCTCAAAAGTTTATCATTATGGTTGATATCCCTAATTTTAATATAATTACGTTTTTCTAAACACTAGAATCCTTACGGTTGCATGGTGTTATGCAAGTTTTACCGATGGTGAACCTGCGTGGACACCATTACCAGCAGAAAACACCACACCGTGTTTCTCTTTTTGCCGGCGGTGAAAGTTTGCCGTTATCTCTTTCTTCCTTCACCGTTCAAAATCACTCTTTCCCTCCCTCTTTGCCGGACACTGATCAATAAACACCACAACCTAACCTCAATTAAAAGCATAACAAATGACAAAAATATCACAATCACCTTGTAGTATGGTGACACCGGCAGTCCGACACTATACAGTTCAGCCTAAAAGAAAATTGTATATTTTAATGAAGAGAACCCTATATCGTATTAACACGAGGAGCCTATGTCAAGCCAAGCCTCTAATTTATATTTAATAATACAGTTACAAGAAACTGTATATGTTTAATTAAGAGATTGCGTGAAAAAAAAAAAAAATCCTACGCAATATCTATAAAATTAACTTTTCTGATTTTTTAAATTTTATGATTTTTAATAATTAAAATTTACTTAAAATATCACATCTACAAGCAACAGAAAAGAAACATTTAAAAGAATAAACTAAGTGGTTGAAATCTTATCCTTGGAAAGGGCAGCTGGCATTGAGAGACTCAAGGTTTGAGCCCCACAATTTGCCATCAGAAGTTATAACAACCTAACAACAAACATGCTTCCCACCAACCAAATATTGCATCCATAATTGATGCTTACTTCATTCGCACATGCATTCAAAATCCAATATCTTTCGGTCTTTCTTTCATCATAAAAGTTAACTAAGATACAACATGTAAAATATCAAGATTTATGTTTACAACAAGTGCCCTAACCCGATAGATTTATGTTTACAAGAAGTGCCCTAACCCAATGGTGGTTCCCAACCCTCCGTCATCAAGTTTAGGGCCGACAGGGCCAACAGGTGAAGTGTTTAACACTTCACCCAGGGGCCCACCCATTGATGTCTCCCAAGAGACATCATGTGGTACATTGGTCGTCATCTTACCCATCCCCAACCCCATTTTTAGTAGAGAATGGCTGGTTGGGGATGTTGTCGAGGAGACAAAGCCATCTGAGTTTGTCGAAACAGATATAGAGAGTTGCCCTTGGTTGGAATCTTCCATGAACTGATGAAGTGGATTTTGGGATTTTAGATCACTTTTGTGCATCGGATTAAGCAAGGAGTCAGAACAAACGAACCCAAATTCTGTTCCACCTATAGAAAATTGATTCTTTTTTAGGTCAACCGATGTTGGAGATGACATTGGAACAACCGTTGCTTCAAAACTTGCCTTGTTTACCACACTCCTATACAAGAATCACAAATTTAGAATTTAGTTGAATCTTGATTGACTTGAAAAGTTTTCTATAGCTATTTTTTTATATATATGATCAAAGATAATAAGGACATTCATGTCTTTACCCCGTATATGTCCCACCTTTTTATCTATGAAAAAAAATTAGAAATTTTGTATAACGACTTTCAGTCCAATGCACCACAAACACAGTACATTCTCTTTTCCCTGTCCTATTGTATATTTTTTGAATCCTATGCAAGAGGTTTGTTTGCGAAGTGGGGAGCATCCAAATAACCCAAAAAAGTGGTACTTGACCATGGAGGGAATCTATTAACTATTAAGCTGATAATTCCAGTTCTGTAATGTTGACTTTAAAGCATCGACTTTTTTTACCCAAAAAAAAAAGTTAAAAAAAAAAACATGAAGTGTATGAATACTTACATGTTATCTTCAGAAGATGTTGCCGCCGGATTGGGTGTAACAGGCTGTGAGCTGGTGTGGGGGAGGACGGCGGTGCTGGTGGTTAGCTTGCAAGTTTGACCTTCCACAAGCTTTCTTGAACGGTGTCGGCCTCTGTTCATGTGACGCTCGCAATACTTTTGGTCAACAACGGCGTCTTTGGCGCACCGCCACTTCTTCCCGTCTGTCCTCCGGCACCTCCCTGGCTCCGGATCGGAGCTGTTGCAGAAACCTAGATGCAACGCACCCCATCCAACTGCTTAAAATCAAAAAATTAACTTGTTTATCCATCTTAAAAACACCCAAATCGAAGTTCAAATCCGGAAATAAAGACAGGGATTAAGAGGGTTAGTAAGGTTACAAGAATTTTGTCGGAGATGTGCGCCTGAATAAGCAGAAAAAGCAGCGGATTCAAGGGCTTTTCTGATCGGAATAAGGAGATTAGAAGGAATCGCAGCGTTGGCAGTGATGTATTTGTAGATCAAAGCTTGGTGTTCTAACTCCATCCATTGTGATGGTGTGAAAGGCCCTCCAGCTCCAGCACCATAACCTGCAACTGATTTAAATAGTTTTTATTTTTCCAAAATTATTCCCGAAAATAAATTCTAAAGATTTATCGGAGACAGAGAGAGATATTTATGTATGATTCTGAAAAAAAAAAAAAAAAGGAAACTATTAAAGAGTTTAAGAACTTGTCTGGAACATTTATGGGCAAAACAGACAATCATGGGGTAAAAATTCCTTTTTTCAAATCAAGTAAGAAAAAATCTTCCAAATTTTTGTATGTTCATCTCGAAAAGACATGAACTATTAAGCATTTCAAAAACCCATCTGATAAATCCCCAAAAACGTCAACAAAATTGGCGTATAATCAATCATTGAGAAGAACGAATTTCTGACTACAAACACGAAAACGACCAACAAAAAGACGGTTTTGTGCATGTAAAGGAAACAGGGAAAAAAAGAAAGAACTGTTTGTACCCGTATTATGTCTAGCGTAGTAAGGAAATGTGACAGTCTGTGTGTTTGGTGAAGAAAAGCTAAGCATATTCTGGGCACCATTAGATCTCCTTGAAATATCATCTTCACCAATCTTCGCCATTTTTAAGTCTCTCCATTCATCTTCACGAGTACCAGTAGCAAGAGCAGAAATAGGGCTTTCTTGTTTACCAAATCCGCCTCCAGATCCGAACCATTTTGGTTTAGGATCCAAATCGCAACAGGAGATCAGAGTGTTTTTGTTGTGGTTTTCTGAAGATACCAACCCATCTAAAACCCCAAAATCCATAGACCTAAGGAAGAGAGTTAAGTTTATTTCAAGTTGTAGAGAGGGACATTGGGGTGATTAAAGGAATATATGCAAGCTTGGAGGACGAACATCTTAATGGGAAGTGCTTGTGTGTTTGTTTTGTTCGGTGTTTATGAGGGGATAATAATGGAAAAAGGAAGGGGGTTGGATGAAGAGGGAGCAGCTCAACTGATGAGTGTTTCTGGTTCAAACTTGCTTTTTAAATGTTTCAAGAGAAACCTTCCAAATATTATATTTGTTCTACGCATGAGAACTGAAATATATAATATTAAAATCATGCTATATTCTCTTAATTTTTCTTTGTCTTATTAAATACGTATATAAGAGTAAATTACTAAAATGGTCCATGTTGGTACGTGGTTTTCTTGAATAACTTCATTTTTTTTTCAATTAAAACGTTAACCATATCAATGGTTTAATTTTGTTTTGATTTTGGCCCATTTTTAAATTAAAATGATTATTTTTTTCTATTTTTTTTCTTATTATCCAACTTAACCCTTCTATCTTTAACCATCACTTCTAAGGTGGTATTTATCTTTCCGGAGGTAAAAGAATTTTTTTCGGATCCTATCTACATACATCTACGATACAAAAGGAGAATCAAACATTTACATTCTGCAAGATTAAAAATATTTGTTTTTTAACGTCTACAAACTGTTAAAATAAACTAAAATATAAATAAACTGATTTTACTAAAACGTAAAAAAGTTTTTAATATTGAAATTTAAATAGTTATAATATCACAACACAACACAGAAAGGTTCCATCAAATTCAAATTTCTTTCTATTTCAATTCATTTAAGATATTTCACATTGAACCATAGAACCATTTGTCTTTGGTTAATATATTATATAAACAAATTGTTTTTTGAACTTAATACTTTTATGATTTTATTATAATTATTTAACAAATCTACATCAAATTGTATATATTATTGTATAACACTTTCATTTTTCATAACCACCTTTTTATTATATTTTTTTATGGCAAATCTTCAAAAATTGTCCTCATGGTTTCCAAAAAAACCAAGTTCAGTCATTAACTATATAGGTCATCAATGTTAGTCCATGTGGTTTCAAAATTTGTAATGCATGTGTAACGTCCCAAAAATAAGGCCATAAAATTTCATTTTTAATCAAATAAAAACAGTGCTCCAAACATTATTCATATAAGTTTAACAAAGTAAGTATATGAGTATTATTTAAAATTAGAGTAAATTATAAAATGCGGAAACATGTGGTGCGTGTCATGCAATCATCCGGAGCTCCCTTGTTTGAAAATCGTAGTACCTGAAACACAAACTAAAAATCATAAGCACAAAATTTAGTGAGTTCTCCCAACATACCACATACAATACAAACATATTTTCAGACATATCTCGGTGCCCGACCTACCCTACCGATCATATATGGGTGCTCGACCTACCCTGCCGAGCATATCTGGGTGCTCGACCTACATTGTCAGGCATATTTGGGTGCCCGACCTACCCTGCCGGGCATATTTGGGTGCCCGACCTACCCTCGGGTCTATTTCAACCAGCCGGGGTCTATTTCGCCCCCTACCACTACCACATAATAACATACATAAATCACATGATCATCAAGCAATACGGGAAAAATGATAATTATCACGCATACAACCATCATACTATGCAATAAATAAAGAGTCGGCCTTGGTGCCTTCGACCCATAACATTCACGAAGGGAGACTCACCTCGATCCGCTGCAAATCAGATAACACTCGGCTGCCGAACCGGAAATCCCACACTAACAACAAATAAATCTCAATTAATAATTATGCCATAATACATTAACCACGGCTTCAACTCATAAGTCCCGACTCCTGGGGTAAAAGACCATTGTACCCTTTCGTTAATGGGTCCAACCCAAACTTGGCCCAAGGCCCACTAATGGTCCAACAACACAACTCGAGGCCCAAACCAAAACTAAGGACCACTCAAATTCCTAAGGCCCAACCAGAGTCCAAACAAATAATTCATAGCCCAAAGAAACAAGCTCGAACCCCAAAACAAGTCCATGACCAAAAGCCCAAAAAAAACCCACTGATGAACCGAACGCGCTGCGTTCCCTGGTGGAGCGCAGGGCGTTCGTTGCCAGACCACTAATCGGGACCCTTTGCCTGAACGCGCCGCGTTCTTGAGATGAACGCACGACGTTCCCAGCCATTGTCCAAAAATTACCCCAAACGTCTTAATAGCGTAAGACCAACATTCAAATCCTTAAAATAGCTTCATATCAGTGAATTAGTCCATAAAGTTGTCAACTTGGCACCTTTGCATGGTCCAAAAGGACACAATCATGATTTCAAGCATTCTAACTCCATAAAGAGGCCAAGATGCAAGCTTTTACCTTAAGATCTTAATCCAAACTTCCAGATATGAGTCAAAGGGACTTCTTAAGTCATAAAGTTTCCAACTTTATGACTTAAAATAACTCAATAGGACCCAAATCAAAACCTTAAGTCTCAAACTTCATCAAATGACAACCAAATCATTCATGGAAGGTTTGAACCCATCAAGATCCAAACTTTATGACTCCATAACCTCAACAAGGGCTAAATATGAAGCTCAAAGGTTCTAGAGTAACTTCTACTCACAAGAACCACCTCAAAGGGATCAAAACCATAACAAAATACCACTTAGCTAGATCTACATGAAAGAGTTGTCAAGGTTGAGACTTTATACCTCTAGAAGATAGATCTAGGTGCACAAGGCCTGGATCCAAAAGCTCCAAGTCAAGCAATGACTCTTCAAGAAGTTCCTTCTTCCTCCTCAAGCACCAAAATACTCATAAATCACTTTGAAGGTCAAGAATCACTCAAATGGGGGCTAGGGTTTCGTTCTTAGGGTTAGAGAGGATGGAGGTTGAAGGAAATGAGGGTTGGAGATGAGTTAAGGTATTTAAATAGGGTCCAAGACCCTAAATTAGGGTTTCCATCTGACCTGGCGAACGCAGGGTGTTCCCAAATGCTCCCGCGTCCAAATTCCTTTTTGAACGTTATGCGTTCCTACCTGGTACGCCATGATGGATTTTATGTACTCTAACATTCCTATGGTGCACATATAACCCTAATGCTTTGGATATAAGTTTTCTCTAATTATACATGCAACATTGTTTTTCCAAAGCATAAAGCCTAAACTAGCATGCAAGGCAACATTTGAATCATAAAAACAGTTAGAAGATTACCTTGTGTAGTAGCTTGCTTGTCTTTGACCTTTACGAGCCTAGCACCTCAAGTATGATGCCTCAAATGTCTTATAACAAACCAATAACAAAAGAATGAACTTGAGAGAGAGGTTTGGGAGCTCAAAATCGCCTAGCTACAACTCTAGTGTGCATGGGGTGGGGAGGGGGGATTTTAGGGTGTTAGGGACTTCTTTTATAGCTTAGGATTACAACCATGCAAACCCTAATGACTCTTAATATTTCTTAGGCCTTTTGGGCTAAACCTTTCATGGACTTTCATGTAGGTTTAGTCCAACCCTAGTCAACATGAGTCATGAGTCCAACTAAAAGTATTACTAATTTACCTAATCAGTCCCTGTAACTTTAATTAGTTTCTTTTGATCACTAAATTAATACCAAATTAATTCTTGATCAATACTAATTAAATAATGTGATTTCTCAATTAATATATTATACTTATAATATATTAATAAATCACAATAACCTCTTCCTCAAATGTCATCCTATCAAATTGTTCCAGAGTGTTACAACCCAAATGGACCATGCTACTATCGGGTCAAGTACATACCAATTATAGTTTTGGGCTTAGACACCTAATCCAACACGCCATGCGTACCCGGTTCGGTCCAAACCCTTCTAACTTCAAATGATCGTAACTTTTGCATCCCTTATCCGTTTTCAACGTTCTTTATATACAGAGAAAGGTAACGAGAAGCCCTACACTTTTAACAACTTTATTTAGCATGAAAACCAACCGAACTAAAATCCAAAATTCATAAAAGGCCCGAACCAACGCCTTTACCGATACCTATGGTCTCCAAAACACAAACTGCAAACCCGGATCATCGAAACTACATCAACCACATACAAATGAGCCCAAACTTAATTCTTCAAGGGTTCTAAGTCTGCTAATACCCACACCTCGATCACCAGCCCGCAATGAGAAACAATTTGAAATAGGGCATTACAACTCTCCCCCACTTAAATTAGATTTTGTCCTCGAAATTTCTCTTTACTAACACTCATATCATAAACAACCCGAAGAACGCAACCGGAAATCCTGAGCATACAACAACCTTCCCAAAGCAACCGAACCCAACCCTGGCAGAACTCTTCGACCCAGCGAAGATGAATCCAAAAACCCATGCATAAAAATACTTCTACCTTCCCGAACTTGAAGTCTCAAGTTGGTCTGACCCATAGACAGACCGCCCACACCGAACCATTACCGTGCCAATTCCACCTTGAATACCAGACTAAACAGAACACTTCCAACCTTTAGTATCTCGATGCCACAACTGGGAACAAGGTCACTAACCATAACTAGCTGCAGAACACCTATACTTAACAGGATGCTCAGGTAATCCTTCGAGTAAAAGATCCATCCCTGCAATGGTTAGACTCAAACGAGAGCCACACAATAGGGCCAAATCAATTACTCTAAGATTATTTAATCCCACTGTAAGTGACTTAGCACTTCCGAACAACAAGCTATTCCACCTATACGGATCTCAAATCACTACTACTGTCTGAAACATCACACTGCCTCCTAGTTGCTTTCCCAAAAAGCAGTTGAGACCTCCCTAGTCCCAACTTGTCTGCCAACTATCTGAAATACCGGACTCCCGCCTGGTTGCTGAGCCAAAAGACACTCATACAGTCGCCCCACACGACTTCCGAAAGAAAACCTCGATTGGCACTAATTTTCCCGAACCATCACGACACCAACCCGATGCTAAACTGAACGCTACAGGACTAACTGTAGTATTAACTCATACCTGGTCCCCAACGACCTACCAGTTCCTGATTCCAAACATGTTGTGGCCCCCCCACAGCCTCGCGAATAGACCCACCTTGACCTAAACCATCTGAAGAAATCCGTGAGCAAATCACAGGTTTGTCATAATCTCACTGTTGTACAGGGACCGGTGTATGCTACTGGCCACCCCGCAGTCTTACAACACTTCCCACACTAACTGACCGAATGCTACAGGCCACCCT